TCCCTTCTTCTTCTACCCCGGTTCCTCCGAGCTGTTTTTTCAATTTCTGGATTAAATTCTAACTGCTCTAAAGATACCTGTCCTCTTAAACGCATAAATCAAAAGAGTAACTCAAGCAAATATTAGCACAAACTAAAAACTAAATAATAATAATAATAATAATAATAATAATAATGATAATAATGATGATAATAATGATGATAATAATAATAATGATAATGATAATGATGATAATGATAATAATGATAATGATAATAATAATAATAATAATAATAATAATGATAATGATAATAATAATAATAATGATAATGATAATAAAAAAAGCAGAAATAAAAATAAAATACTCAATAAGCTAAACAAAGAATTCTCAAAGAACATCGTTCCCAAGCAATGGCGCCTGAAATACTTGTTGAATTATTGGCAAGCGTACCAAATTATCAATCGCAATATAGTATTTCGATTAAATAAAAGTCGATCCCACGAGGAACAATTTCAATGGAAATTCCCAATTATGCTTACTAAGTAGATTAAAACAGATTAAGTTTTGCAAATAAGAGTTGAATTGAAATTAAATGACAAAGACTTGTAAATTGTTGAGAAAATATCAATTAAAGGTACTTAGGATTGACTTCCTTCCTTATCCCTCTTTTGTAATGGCTATGTCAATTAAGAACGTCAATTAACCTAACAATGTTGATGTCACCTACTCAAATCATCCATGTTGATTCCTCACACATGAAATTCATAAGAAAACCTAATAAATGTTGATTCCTCACACAATTAACAGATTTTCCGAGCATTAGGATTAGGGTGTTAAGCAATTGATACATTCATTTCATTCCCGGCAATTAACGTAACAAATATTCTTACCGTGATCTAGGGTTCAAGATATATTTTCCAATCATACCTCAAACAATCAAGAATAAATCATTCCAAAGCATAGAAGATAAGAATAACAACATCAAAACATAGATTAATATCTCAAAATATCACCATGATACAAAAGAGTTCAAAGGAAGTGCACCGAATCCTAAGAGAATGAAGTTAGTCACTCATGTTGGCCATTACAATGCTCCAATTGATGAAGTGAAGAATCGATAAAGATTAGACAAAACCCTAACAGTAGTCGTGCCTCCTCTCCTCCAAGACCGCTTCCTCTCTCAAAACACAACTTATCTTTTTATAAGAGAATTTGGGTCGGGTCTCGCATCATTTATTCGTTTAAGCGCTCTTCTTTCTTTCAATTTTACTCCAATTATGTTGAAAATTATGCTCCTTACTTTTGTATCAAGGTATTCTCGAATTCATCCTATATTGAGAGAAAAATATATTAGAATTAACATAAGTTAAGTGGTTTCATAACAATTCAAGGCATAATTATATCAACTTTTTACCACTTAACAAGGTCCTCTGAGTAACATTAGCAGGAAACTAAAAGTTCATTAATTGATTAGCAGACCTCTAATAGGTTTGCAAAATTCTATAGACATGATAATGAACTAACAGAGGTATATAGGTTAATAATTTTTATAAAATGTGCTTTTGGTCTTGGTATATTATTATTAGTTGTATTTTGAAATTGATCATTTTTAAGGTAAAAGGAAAAAAAAAAAAAAAAAGTTTCTCCATGGTAATGAATTAGCATGAACATTAGCGTTTTAGTTGCATACCTTTTGAAACCCAAAAAGGGCAAGCCCATAACACACTATTTGTTGGCAAAGGACTTGAGTCATCATGGAAATCGTGAAGATGGGAATTAGTCAATGGAGCAGAAATAAAGTTGAAAATTTGGGTTGCAGCTTTAGAATTATGATTTTGTGTATATATAGTAAGTAATTGATGTAGACCATACCCTGATGAGAATGTTAAATATCTTCCTCTTGTTTTGTTCTGCTACTGCTACAAGAGTGGATCATTGCAATGGTCCCCCAATGCATTATTTGAGTCTCTTGGCTTTATTTTATTCTCAGTTCCAAATCATAAAGCTCTCTCCATTTGCTCTGTAATCAGTCAAACACATTGCTTTTATTTCTCCTTCTTTTGTTTTGCAGATATTGAATACCGAGTTTTATTATTCAAACTGTCTTAATTTTCTAAACATCACTTACTATAAATTGATTTTAACTTGAATCCTAACTAATTTCAAAACCTTTTTAAAGTAGATATTTTTCTTAATCAAGAGATATTAGTAAGAATTTGATATTATATACCTTAATTTTCTTTAGTCGAAAACATGCGCGAGAATCTCATATCTTGCCCTTCAATTATCCAAATATAACAATCTCTTTGGACTAATTTATTCAAAACATTATTTAAATATTTAAATTTACATATTTTTTAAATAAATTTATATGCATTCAAATAGGACAATACACAGTTATTTCAAGACGATAATTGTGAAGACACGGGAAATCTCTCTATATAGGATCATTTTGTTATACATTAAAAAAGTATACTAAATATAAAATGATTTAGTAATAAATTTTAGTGGTTTAATAAATATGAGTTAATTTATGTTATGTTTACTCACTAAACATATTTTGTGAGAATGAAAAAATATAAAGAAAAATATAAATTATTTATACTCTCGTTGGTCTTATATAATATTTAGAAAGTGAATGTTCCATTCTTTACGCTTTCTGCTAAGTATTCTTAATATATATATATATATATATATATATATATATATATATATATATATATATGCAATTTTTGCATTATTCTATTGTAATTAGTAAAAAAAATTCAATCAACTTAAATATTACGTTTTCATTATCTTTACTTACATGTTTCATTTTTTAATCACCAATAACTTGTAATATATCTTATTTTATCCTTATTTCTAAATTGAACTTTGATAATTTACTTTGAATTAATTGTTTATAATTCTCAAGAAAATAATCATATATATTAATTTAAATTTATTATAATTGAAAATATTTATTATTATGTTAATTGTGAAAATAGGACTCGATTTAACCCTGTTAATCAAGTAAATCAAATAAAATTGATGATCTTGATTTATATTTTAAAATAAATTATAAATTTTAACTTAATCTAATCCTATCTTAGTTCAATAGGTTAAGGAGCTAATCTTGACATAAATTAGATTAAGTTGTAAGGGCGTAGGTCACAAACTTTTACAAAAAAAAAAAAAAATAAGATCATGTAAGGGAAAAGGAAAACACTAAGTTTACCAAAATTCCAATTTTTTTTTTTTTTACCAATGACGTGATAGGAATTTTTTTTTTTTAAATGAAATTTAAATTTGGATGAAGTTTAAATAAATTACTCACTCGCAGAAAAATATTTAAAATTCTGAATTTGTTTTTCTCAGTTATTTCACACAGTAACGACAGAAGACCCATTAGAACCGGTTGAGCGGATTAAGAATTGAGATTGAGTACAATTCCAATGAGGATGTAAATTATATCTGTCAATTTATTTATTTTTTATTTATATTAAATATATTACTTTTTTTGTTTTTTATATGTGCTATATTTATACGTTGACTTCAAGATAAAATTGTATGAATATAATATTGTAGGATAATAACATTTATTATTTCCTTTAAAAATTGTCTCCCGTAGTCTTGGATCCGTCACCTGTCTCCCTCCATAATTAATCATAGGGGTGCGAAATATCTACAGGGAATTCGGGTATGGTCGAGCAACCAAAGATGCAGCCACGAAACCTTAACCTTCTTTTTAACTAATGTCCTACGTCCATTAAAAACAAAAAAAGGGTGAACTAATTTGAGTCGAGGTTTAGGATGGCAGTGAACCAGTGTTAACTATTGTGGATATTTTATTTTCTACCACTACTACAACTACAACACTTGTTTGTTATGAAAGAAAACATGTAAACAAGTCAACAGCAGCATTAATGAGTACTGTGGCGAGAGTGGCGGGACACGTTGCTGTAATTAAACTTTTCAGATACGCGTTGGGGACCTCTTTGGTTGAGTAGCGAGGCATATGATATGATTCTAGCTAGCTTACCAATCATCATAACAAAAGCATCTCCAATCATGCAGCACGCATCATCGCACCAACCATTTCATGTGGTGGAACCCTCCCTCTCGTCATCAACCCCTGTTCCTGTTCCTATTCCTATTCCCGTTCCCATCCCTCGTAGCTGTCAATGCAGCTGCTAGCTAGTGCTGCCCCCAACATCTATGACGGCTCCTCCAATAACTATCATCCCAACTTGCCACATTGCTCCCCTCCTTTTTCACCTATTCATCAACCATCACTCTTCGTTTCCATTCTTTTTGGAAAATCATTTCATCACCAGAGAATAGATATTGCTTTCCCACTGTTTTTTATTTATTGTCACCTCCACTTGCATAAATAATACTATCAGCTACCAATCAAACAATTCCAAGACATGAATTGAGTATAATCAATCTTCTGCATTAACATGTTTCTTCTTTCTGAACTTTAATAATATATAGCTTTGGAAATTCAAGCAAGTACGTACACATAGTTTTTTGTGTCCAAAATTAGAACACGAATTCCTGCTATTACCATGCAACCATGTCCCCATCCCACCCCTTAACTTTTCCACCGCTGGGACCACCATCCAAAACAACTCCACCCATCACCGACAAATTACTCATTAACCCTGATTTTCGTAAATGACAAATATATTTAGACAAAGAGAGAATAATCCAAATCCAAATCCAAATTAACACACAAACGGATGATATGATATACTAATATACATACATCCTTTTCTTCTTCTTGTTTGTTTTTTCTCGATCACTACATAAACAGTAATCACTTAATTGACCCAAATTACGATACACCTATATAATCTTTGTACACATAATTTAGGTAGGTAGCTAGCTAGCAAAGCAAGCACACTACGAAACCCCAACAGGTGATTTTGGAAAATAAAGATTAAATGATCGACATTTGACACAGGAGAGGAGAGTATAGTATAGTATAGTTGTGAAAAATAAATAATTGTGGGAGACATCAAATTAATAGGAGTGACTAGAAGAATCTGGCAGAAGGGGAACGAAGATCCATCTCCTGGGTCCATGCGCTCCGGTCCTGAACGTGCAAGTGCCAGAAGGTTTGAGCCAGTGCGTCCGGGTCCATTGTACCCTCACCTCCTCCTCCCACTACACCACTGCTTTGCTCCCCCGATGAATTACCCCTCTGCAATGACGTCGCCGATGTTACTCCTCTGCCCACAACATGCAAATTCATCCGTCAATACCTCAACTTCCATTAACATCGTTTCTTTTTCTAAGCAATGTTATTCGTAGACATATTTGTCAAAAGCTTAATATATATATATATATATATATATATATAACAACCTCGCTAAATATCAGAAATTAACCTAATAACTGTTGTTGGACTACTGGATGCCATATTATCAAGCTATTATGTTAGATATCCTATTTTAATTAGGGACATAATTAAATAAGATTGATGATATTTAGTATCTTTAGGGCACTGATTAAGAATAAAAAACATAAAATTTTGATTGTTAGAAATGCATTGAAAATAACATAAAGAGAAAAATCGTCCAAATTTCTATATTTTGGAATATAAATTCATGGGAAATGGAAGAATTAGTATGCGATGTTGTCGTAAGAAAAAAAAAAAAAAGGTGTGTGTAAGTGGATTTGCATTGAGTAAAAGATGGGAATGTAAGAGCAGGGAGGAAGAAGTAAAGAGAGGAAAGGAACCTGGGTGGGCCAATAAGACCGTCGATGATAATATGAGCTACGTGCACTCCCTGAGGTTGAAATTCCTTGGCCAAACATTGAGATAGAGCTCTCAAAGCGAATTTCCCACAGCCTGTCTCATCTCCCCCATTGGGTCCAGTGTTCTCACAGATTCAATTAATTCAACTCAATTTAATTACACTACTTCTAACAACAAGAAACAACACTAAAAAAATAAGGATATATAATTGGTATTTACATAGTTCAGAGTATCCAGCAATGCCGTTGAGAGACGCGGAACAGCCCGCGAAGAGAATCGTTCCCTTTCCTCTTTCAACCATGCCCGGCAGCACCTTGTACAATTCATCGATTAATCTCATGAAACAAAGCTATAGCGACCACATTAATTGATTAAGGGGCTGATAGAACGGCGGTGGTAGTAGTGGTACCTGTTGAGCGCAGTGGAAGGCACCGACAGAAGAAACGGCGAGGGATTTCTCGAAGGAATCGATGCGAAGGTCTTGGAAGGAGGTGGGGTACCAAGGTATGGGTTGGTAAGCATTGTAGACGAGAATTTCAACGAATCCCAGAGAAAGCACTCCCTCGAATGCCTCTCTCACGCTTCTGGAATCGGAACAGTCTATTCGTATGGCGAAAACCTGCGCCTTCTCTTCCCTAGCAATTTCGTCAGCGAATCTCGACAACCTCCCTGTAGTTAATTAATTAGTTAATTTCCATCTGTCATATCATATGTTAATAATAGTAAGAAAAGTAAAATTAGTTTTATTTTGGATGGAAAGAGAAGAAAAATGCGTGTAATTACCGACCCAAGTCACGAGCGAGGATGGCGACTGTGTAGCCTTCGTGAGCGAACTTGCGAGCGATGGAGAGGCCAAGGTTGGGGCCGACACCGACGATGGCTGCAATGCCTCGTGAGGAAGCGGAGCTAGCCATGTTTCGCATCTCTATATCTCTCTACCAGAATGGATTAAGAAATTGAAGTGTAAAGGAACAAAAGAGTGAAAATTATGGGAAGGGGTTGGTGGAATGAATGAATAATATAGAGAGATGTTTAAGTAGTGGAGTGGAGTGAAGATGAGTAACAGTGTGTGAGATGTCGTGGTTGTGTCTGAATCATTGCCTCCGTTACAACGAGCATTCGCTTTCTTCTCTCTTCCTCCCTCTCCCTTCTGTCTCTACTACTTCCTCTCAACAACGTGACATAATTCTACTACCCATTCTAACCAGAAATATCACTGCTTTTTTCTTACTAACTAGTTATTTTCTACAACCAAAAATCACACAACCGTACATTTCCATCTTCAAAATGTATGCCGGTAGGTTTTTTTTTTTTGGATAAACATGAATCGATGCTCCCATTCAATTTCTGGAGTCTAGTTCGTTGTCTAAATCTTACTAGCATCATTTTTAATTCCACTATTTAACGCCACCGTATATTAAAACTTCAATAAAATAAAATTGTTTAAATAGGATATTTTCGCATAATAATTTATGGAATGAAAAATAAAAAGTATTGATTCATCATACTTATATATTTATAATCAAAATATTAATAAGTGAAAACTTTAAAATGCGCATTCCTGGTTCGATAATTGAAAAAATATCCATCGACATCTTCTATCGTTTCAAATTATTACGATAACAAATTACAATTATGTCACCAACTTTTATGTGAAATGATCTGAAAACAACGTGGGGTAACTATATAACAGTCAAGTTGATTTAATTATCAAGGTTATCTTATCACTCAATAGTATGAGATTGATTATGGTTTTAGTTTCCTAAGAAAAGTTTATGTGAAGAAAATAGTTTTATATTATTGATGGAACGTTTTGATTGGCGCACCAATTGTTTGTAAATATAGTGTGATATCAACTTTTATAAATCTGTCCAGTTTTTATTTGTTACTACTCATCAACCTTGTCATAGGATTTAACAGGATAAAAAAAAATTTAAACAGGCCATATATATAACCCAACTGATTTTATTTAAGAAGACTAAGCTCAACAATATTTACTCAGGCCTGTTAAAAGAAATTTTATAAACGCGATACAGCATGAATAAAAATATATATGTATTATTTGTATAAATTTTATACAATTCCTAACAAAGTATATAGTAAATAATAGTGTAAAAACTTTTTACACTATACCTTTTTCTTAAAAAATAAAAGAAAATAAGATAATCATATTTTTAAAAGCATATTCAATAAAAATGTTGTATTTTATATATTTTTTGTTTAGGTGTTTAATAGATCAACAGTCAAAAAAATGTTTTAATACATCAATGCAACCTATTTCTATATGAGCATATTATGTTTTAAAACTTGATAAATTAAATATGCCTATCCTTTTCAACAAAATATGCTTTATGTGCACTGAATAAATGCTTTGTGTTACTGTATCCGGTTATGATTGGTTGATTTTCTAAATCAAATATCTCTCCCAAACACAAATAACATATTTTATGCAGTTACAGTGACTATAATCAATTACTTTTGCAGTAAATGATGTGCTTTAAATAATGTTTTGATTTCCACTTTTTTTGTTCTTCATTTTTTTTTCGTTTCTTATTCATGTGAAATTTTTATACTTTTTATTTTTTATTATTATATTTTTTTCTTTGTCAATTTTCCATTAACAAAAAGCTAAAATGCTTTATAATGATTCCCTCAGATGTATAGCTGTGATTAGGTCAACTATTGAGTCACGTGTATAATGGGAAGTTAAAGACTTATAGGGATGTGGAATAACAAAAATACAAACTAAATATATTTATTTACATATTTATAATATGAAGCTGAACATGTTATGTTCGGTAACATATCCATGTCATGAAAGACTTAAGAATATATTAAAGTTATTTAAAAATTATCTTCGAGGTTTAATGAAAATAATTAATTTAAATTAATAATATTATAATTTAATATGCGTTTGAAATTAGTATAGAGTGAGGAGTATGGTAGAATATTTGTAAATGATTGATAGCATTGTTAGGTGGAGGGTGAAATTGATGAATATGCATGCGCGACACGTTTGGGGACGTTGGGTAACGACAGAGAGAAGTAGGACTCGGTAAATTAAGTGCGTAATGAATTCCCCACCACTTGTCTTTCCAGCTCGGTTGCAGAACATTGCAGATGTTGTGTTCACACAACAGAATATCATTCATGTCTTGGAACTCAAAGACAACCCTACTTCACTCAAACTCTTGTACGTGTCACTGTCGGTTCATGCCCTCCCTCCATACAAGTACTACCATGCAACTTGGACAAACACTATTCAACTTATATTTTCACAACAAAAATCAATCTTTGCTTTTTTACCCTTTTACTCCTTCTCACACTATTTTGTTAAACCAATATCCTCATACTACTACTACATGCATTACCTTATATTATTTATTATTATTATTATTATTATTATTATTATTATTATTTTAAAAGATATAATTAGTAAACAAGACACAGTCACATCAAAATCACTACAATTATTATTGTTGTGTTTTCAACCCCAACATTTTTAGTCGTTGCTTGAATAATTTATACTAATAGTAGAACTAAAAAAACATAAATATTAAGTATAAATGAATATTTTTTAATGAGAATTCAAAATTTATTCACAAGATTATCTTTAAATATAAATATGGTCTTTTATTAGTTCAATATAAACTGTTTGTTAACTTTAACAGGAGATAATATAAGAAAAATATAAGAAATTAGTTATTATAATATTATTATTTAAAAAAAAATATATATATATATATATAAAGAAAAAATGTGATAGATATTAAAAAAATAAATTAAACTAAAAAACTAATTATTTTATAAGATTAATAATATAAAAAATATAGTGACATATGTATTTAACTAATAGATAAATCCTTTGAATAGTGAACTAGAGCAATAAATAGTATGAGTAGTTAAAATTTTTCTATTTTAATCGTTATTTAAATCAAAGGAATTCCTGTATATTGGAATGTGAAAGATTTAAAAGAATAAGAAATTATTAAAAACAATAAGCTAAAATATTCTTATCTTTGTGTTTTTTTTTAACTTGATAAAATTTAAATATATTAATTTAATATTTTTTACTACTATTTTAAAATATGAATAATTGATTTTATTTATTTTTAAAATATAAATATTTTAAGTTATTTTTCTCTGAAAATTAAAACAAAAATGAGAGAAAAAAATGTTAAGCCAATAAATTATACACTAAACAAATAAAAATTGGTTATTGGTATTTATAGAGGAGATATGATAAAGAGTAATTATACACTAGTTTATTATATTTTTATTTTAATATTAAGATAATTAATTATTTTAATTATATACTGGTTTTATTGTTGATCTTATAGTTTATAATATAATAATTTAATATAAATTGTGCGTTTTAATTTTTTTTATGACTAACTCGTTATTGGATTTTATAGGGTTCATGAAATAAAGAGTAATTATATATTATAATACTAAAATTTCATTTAAGTGTTGTGATAATGAATTATTTTAAATGTATAGTAATATAACAATTTTTTATTTTTTAATTTACAATATTTTAGATCAATGGTCAGAAAATCAGTATATTTTTGTAAAATAAAACTTTACATATGGATTTACATATAAATATTTACTGAAATATATTCTATCGTTTTACTAAGAATCTTAGAGTTTATAAACAATCATATGATTAAAAATGTAGATACTAAAATAAATTGGAGCTATCTTATCTAAACCATGATGAAAAATCAAATTATTAATATATATATATATATATATATATATATATATATATATTACTTATTTTTCCAGGAAAATTCTAAGTACTTGCGGATTTTTTATTATTGTTTTTTTATCAATTTGGATCCTCACTTCACCGTCCCCATGTCATGATCAACAGATTCATAACTATTTAGTATAGGAGAAAATTTTCTATTTTTATGTATCATGTAAAAAAAATGTTATTTTTTTTATAATCAAATTTATTTGAATAAGCTTAATTAGATAAATAAACCAATAAAAAATTTATTTGAGTATTTTTTTTAAATTGTATTATTTATATGATTCATTCATATATTGAAAAGAAAAATAATGTTTAGGCAATTAAAACGGTATAAATCATCCTTCCAACAATAAATTATACTAATATACTAATATTACTATATTATTATTTATTATATATGTAAAGAATATGGATTATTAATAGAATGATGATATAATAATTTATAGAATGATTTAATAAAAGAAAAATAAGTGAAAATTATTATTATAATATTAAAAAGAAGTTATTTATAAAAGTTGTATGAATTTGAGTTGTGAAATAATCATTTTCCTTAAATACATCACCATTAATGACATTACTCATAGTACTCACATCAAGCTAAGCAATTAAAGTATTTATAATAACTTAAAATTAAAATCGGATAAGATGATGTCCCACTTCACCATATATGATGATGTCTTACTCACATTCTTCTAATAGGTGAATCAGAATAATGTTGTATCTTCTATTTGAAGTTTCAGGCGAAAGTTGACCAGAATACAAGAGTGATAAGAAAAAATTACAATTATGCGATGAAGGACGTGTGATGAAGACTGATTTAAAGCTCTGTTGAGGTGTAAAGATCGGTCAAAGATAGGGAACTTCCTCGTAAGTTCCTGGTCAAAGGAAGGCTACTTCCTTGCAACTTCCTGGTCAAAGGAAGGCTATTTCCTTGCAACTTCCTGGTCAAAGGAAGGGAGCTTCCTTGCAACTTCCTGGTCAAAGGAAGGGAGCTTCCTCTCAACTTCCTCTCAAGAAGGATTTGTTTGGCTATAAATACCTCATTTTGTAACCTCATTTGTATCCAATCCAAGTGTGAAGAAAGAGTAGAGAGAGTGTATTCATACGGGCTTGTGTGAGTTGTAACATTCGGTTTATCCTCTTATTCTAGTTCATTCTCCT